TTTTCAAAAATTGGTTTTGTTTTAAATTAGTTACAAATTATAAAAATCTTAGGTTACAGTAAGAGATTTATCAAATTTATATTTATTTTAATTTATACTAATTGTAATATGGTTCTATGGTTGAAACTTATAATTTATTATTGTAGCTTTCCCCCCTTCTAGCAAGCCAAATTTACGCCTATGATTACATTGCTTTGTAATAACTAAGATGACCATTGAATTAAGGATAAACATTTTTAGTTATCAATAGTGATGGCTAGGGTCCGAAATTATATGGATTAAAATTGTAGGAAATATGCATGCATATTATATGCACTGATTTTCATTCAAACACATATTTGTGCGCATGAGGTATGYAGGGTACGCGTTTTATTATAAYATAAAACATTGCCCGACATATTATAATACTTTTTAATTGTTTGTGTTTACCTAAACATGGTGTTCTGAAATGGTTGAGTTATAACCATGTTGGACATGCRTACTCAGTGTGATGACCCAATGAAGATGTTTTTTTTTCAATCTTYGARATTTGGGTTTATTCATATCATTTTTAGAACATTATCTTAAATCTGAAAAATAACACTTAAGTTGTATTTTTTTGCAAAATTCTCATATGAATCGASGTGTCACATTATTTTTACGCTTGTTGCTCGTTTTTCAAGGACGAATCACCAATTAAAAAAAAAGGTGCGAGACATCAATTTGTATGAGAAAACTACAAGGTAAACATTGGTGATGGTTATTTGTTGTCATTTACAATAAGTACAAAATGAAGTGTTACTGTGACATCCAAAACCTGGAATTTCAGTATAAATACGAACACAAATAGTTAGTTTTATTTATCTCTAACTTATGACATTGCGGATACAAGACCCCATATTTAACGCGYGACAAGCGTAAAAAAAAATGTGACACCTCAATTTGTATAAGAATTTTGCAAAAAATACAACTTTAGTGTTATTTTTCACATTTCAGATAATGTTATAAAAATGAGATGAATACACCCAAATCTCAAAGATTGAAAAAWACATCTTCATTGGGACATCACACTGAGTAGTGAGTACGCATATCCAACATGGTAATAACTCAACCATTTCAGAAACACCCTGTTTAGGTAAACACAAACAATTAAAAAGTATTATATATCAGGCAATGTTTTTATATTATAATCAATTTTTCAAGTAAGTCAATGATATTATGATACATTATTAAAAAAAAAATTTTTTAGTTATAATAGTTCGAGATTTAACCAAGCCAGATGATTTTACTTGAAATATGGGTTTATACTATGTACCCGTCATTAGTTATCACAACATATAAAAAATATTTCTAATTGCAAACCATTCTGTTTACTATTAGGTACTTATCAATTTTTTGTAAATTTAATTTAATATAATACTCAAAATTAAATTTATACAATGTAGAAGTGTTAAGTGTAGATATATTATTTATGATACCCTTTTTCAAGTAATAATTATAAGTAACATATCACGTATATGTCATTAACAAAATATCTGACTAATATTGTTAACAAATAACATTTCATCTAATATTAATAAGAAAATATACTATGAATATGAAATTTRTGATAAAATTCTYRGATATCAAATAACCATCAATTATTAGATGTTTGGCAAATATCTTATATATTAAGAACAGTTACTATGTACTTAATACTTATGTACTCATTGARCAATGTATGGTGTTAAAAAGATTTAATTCTTTTGTAACTTATGTTTAGATTGATATATTGTGAATYGCACATGTGTTAGGGCTATTATAGAGGAAATAGTCAACACAAAATATAAAATGTTATCATGGTTTATTAGGTGAATGTCATTTACATAAATCTTATTGTTTTTGCGCCAGTTCTTTTTCTTTTGCTTTTTCGATTTTAGCGAGACGACACGCAGACTTAGCACCCAAAACACCACCTCCCCAATGACGTTTAAATTCATCAAATCGTTCGTTAAAGTTATTCTTTATAGACTCTACTAGTTTAGCTAGAGCAGCCCGATCACCTGTATCAACCTATTAAAAATATTTTTGATTTTATTAAAATTGTTGAAAGTACACATTGATTATATTTACTTGTGTTATAGCCAAAGCAGTACAGTTCTTGCGACGAACAAGGTTTCCTAATCTCCATTTGCCCTTAATGATGCAGTAAGGGACTCCCATTTTGCGGCATAATGCTGGGAGATATATCACCAACTAAAAGAAAAATTATTTTAAGTTATAAGTTTTCATTTCTTTTGATTGCAATACTAAAATACTAAAATAAGAACCTCCAAAGGATCCACATCATGGGCAATAATAACTAATTGCGCTTTTTTTTGTTCAACAAGGTTTACAACTGTATTGATTCCTTGACGAATAACATTTGGGCGCTTTGTTGGTTGATCTTCCTTTGTTTCGACTTTATCTTCAGCTCTTTTCTAAAGATACATACATAAAAAGCTATTAAATGAAAATAAATAATTTTTACATCTTAAGCAGTTAAATTGCAGTACCTGCAATCTCCTTTTCTTCATAGCAGCTGTTTCAGGTCTGTATTTTTCCATCAGTTTAAATAACTGAGTTACTAAAAAAAGTATAAAATGATTATTGTACATATGCCATCAAAAAGATTGAAACATCATAATAYATCATTCTTAAAATTAGACTTTGTGTTTACCAGTAGCTTTATCTGCAGCATATGAGAATTGATTAATTGGTGGAGGAATTTTGAGCCTTCTTTGAAGAACAGACTTTTGGCGTTGAATACGAATGTAATTTGGCCATTTCACAAAACGACTTAAATCTCTTTTTGGTTGAATATCCTGACCTATAAAATTATCAAGAAACTTAAAATTTATTATTTGGACTTAGTATAAACATAAACAAAAATTTTAAATTTAAATCATCCAATTTTTTTTTTTTAACATAACATGCATGAACAATCCTAGGATATCAATATGACCAAATATTGTCTTTTTAGTAAAATTGCTCAGGGTTAAAAAGCTCACAAGTTATATACTCATAGATACTATCAAAAATTATAAAACTCATCATGGCAATTGGAGGTGCAAAAATAAATACAATTATCTAAGTAAACCAAATAGCGAGGGRAATTGAATCAAATTACYAAGTTTACAAATTTRAATTAAATAAAGAAAAAACCATTTTCTTTAAATGAAAATGTAAATAAATTCAACAGTTTGTTGTCAWAGTACTTTACTGTCTCATGTTAAAATTTTGCTCAGGGTTAAAAAGCTCATAAAATGTATTCTCATAATATTGTTCAATAAAATAATTTTAACATCATAGCAATTTCTCAGATAATTGTAGATGCATATACAAATATTTTTTTGTCAAAAATATTTATCTATCATATCATTATAATCCATAAATGTTTAAGTTATTAAGAACCATTTCTTCAACWTAAAAATAACTAGGTTTATAAAATACGGYCAATAAAAAATATATTAACAATAGAAATATATTTTAAATTTTGGACAAATTGAAATATAAGTACAAAAAAGATTTGTCAGAGTTAAAAAGCTCGTATGTGTATTTGATTATCATTGTAAATCAATCAAAAWGACAACTCATCATTCAACAGTTATAATACAAACAAGCTCAGAATGTCATTTTCAACATTACTCTTAAACACACTTTAATAGTATGAAAAGTTCCGTTGAAGAAATTCAAGCATCATGGCCATAATAATGTATTTTATATATTAAATTAACCATAAAATATTTGAAAATAAGAAATATTGTTAGAAGTTGATAAATTTAAARTAGTTAAATTGAACCTTCTTTATTGATTTTTCCTCCAACAAAGTTGTTGACTAATTAAAAGATATAGGAACATAACATAGTAACCTTGGTACCTTTACTATACTCATGAATTAACCTTAACAAACTAGGTTAATTCTAAGTGAAACAAYAGTTATAATTAATATTAACAGAAGTTTATTTTCGCTCAGTATGTCACTTACAGCATTACATTTAATAAAACTACCAAGTAGAATTAATTATATCTCAGGTGAAGAAATTCAAGCATCATAGCGATTATTATTTTTGTATTTAAAATTTTATATACATTATAACTATCTTGKTAGATATTTTAGGAGCCTTATAAAAGTAGAATAAAATAACAATCCACTTACCAATTCCAAAGTTTCTTGGTCTTTTTTCAAACAAAGGGTTAACAACCTTTTGTTTAAGAACTTTTTTTGGTTTCTCACTGACGAGAGGTGCCGGGGCGATCTTTGCTTTCTTTCCGACCTTTTTACTGGAGCTTGGCTGAAATAGTGAAATGAAAATTCATATTAATGTAGTTATCATATATCAAGTATCAGATTGTTATTTATAATAAAAATAAATAAGTTTAATAAAACATAACAATGATATTAATCTCGAAGTAATAAACTGTTCAGTAATTTAAATAATAAGACAGTGTTTTGGATGTAAGATTTTAAATCATGTATAAAGGAAATATGAGTAAAAATAATTAATTTATAACTACGTAATTATGATTTATAATTAAAATAAAGTACAAGTACCTTCTTAGGAGCCATGATGACAAAACACCAAACGATCAACCAGATAAACGAGGATATAAATGCGAATAATCGCAAAAGAAACGGAATGGACGAAATTCGTGGACACTTCGATTCAGGATCAAGAATTCAAGAAGAACATTTGTAAATTATAGGTTATATTGACATACCAACAAAAACTTCAGTCGTGCTGTGTTACTCTTAAAAGAAAAAATGAATGGAACAATTTTTTTTATCATGGTTGAATAAACTCTAACGCACAAACTCACGCCTCTCTGATAGTAATTGTGATAATATTATCAACACATTATTATTATCATTGATTAAATATACAATAATACATATTATATAAAATAATTGATGTTATTATTAAATATAATATTATCACGGATTATAAAAAATTATATAATATAATCAGTGTCCAGTGGTGATATTATCATGAATACAAAAATACAAAATATGTAATTTCAATTTTGTATTTAAATATTTAATTAATATTAATTAATAATTATTATTTACAGAATATAGTAAATCTTTCATAAGAAGTATGTATTCTTTAATTTCAGAAGCCTTACATTATAAATTATTTTTATACATTGTATTAAGATTTTATAAATTTTAAATCCTACACTGTTCAAAACTAATTATTTTTTTAATCATTCCCAGATATTCGTAATTTGAATTTGTTTTAGTAATGTTTCTTGGAAGTTAAATAAATTAGTTAAAATTGTATGTTATCTGTTGTAGGTGGTTACTTGATTATATATGTCTACTTCAATGTCTGTCACCAAGTCTTATACAAACAGGTTAAAAAGTGATGTCAAATGTATGCTAGAAAATTTTGAAGGTAAAATATAATATGCTCAATTCTATGTCAGATTTTACTTGATTAAATTATTTCGATCAAAAATATATATTAATATCTGTATTAAATTTTTTATTGTAAGTTCCTTGTTACAAATTGTTAAATAACTTCATTTTAAGACAAATAATATAGACMGGAACATTTTATTATTAATTTTAATAACTCACAAATTGTCTTAGTAATAGTAATTTTAAATACTTAGCAATGCATTAGAATATGTGGTGAGTACCCAATAATCAGGTTTTTTATTTAATTTCTTGGATGATAATTTGGAACAAGTAATTTGCTCCTATTTTTAAAAATTATGATGGTTTCTTGAAGCTTTATATTAAGGGGAACCCCATACAAAAAACACGCTTTGAAAAAAATTTGACAAAAAATCCAAAATCATTTTTGTAATGTCAGCCAATAAGTCTGAAAGACAAATACCTATTGTATTACATTTTTGTTCATAATTATTTTGCTACCTATCTATATATAATTAATATTTATTTGAAATTAATTTTTTTTTTTTTACAATATTAGTATAATAATATATTTGATTATGATTCCTTAATCCTTTTGTTTATTATACAAAATAATAGTTAATATAAAAGTAACATTGAAGATATAGAAAAAAAAATATGAATCTTTTGGTTTTTACAAATATCTTAAACAATTTTTTTTAAATATTTAATACTAACATTTATCACTCATTACTCTACTATAGATTAAAAAAATATATATATAATACCTATTAGCTATTTGTAAGAGATAAAATAATTATATTTTTAAACTAAATCATCAAATGTAATATATTTATAATTTATAAAAAATCAGTTACATCATTTTAATGAATGTTAATTGTATATTATATTAATAATTATTAATGCAGTGCCGTATTTAGGGTAATATGTTGATACTTAGACTTCAAAAAGCGAAGGTAGGCAAATTTTGATTTTGCCTATGTATATATTTTGTCTAGAGCAGTCCATGACTGCACCTTTCATACCAATTGGGATAAACTGCTGATAATTAGCATTTTTAGTCATGATATAATTTTGAGAATGTTTTGGCTTTTTTGTTTTAGCTATGTATTATAGTTGTTATTAGACTTTTTTTTATTTATGAGTAAAAAATGACTCAGAAAATTTTTTTGAAAAAGACTACCTTATTTTTTTAAATTATATTGATAATACGTAATAGCAATTTTTATAGTTAGGTTGTTGATTGTAGAGACTTGGAACTTTCTTCTATTACATACTAATACTCAATTCCATTTTGAAATTTTGAGACCAATTATTCTAAGTTGATTTTACTATGATATTGTTCATACCATTCTTCAGTACTGGATTACATGTAATATTTTTCAACAAAATTAGCTTAGCCAATCAAATTTAGAAACAAATAATCATTTTAATGTAATATTATAATAAGTACATAATGTCTGTCGTAATAAAGACTGATTCAACTATTTTCTTCATTTAGAGTTATTTTTGTTTATTTTGTATTATGTCTATTGGGTGACTGTTGCTGTATAAGAATATAAGACTTAATACAAAATAGTTAATCAATTTTTATTTCATATTTTTAGGTATTGTAAAACTATGCAAGACCGATGATGATCAAACACAAATTTCTAAAGCTACTCGTAGCGAATTAATAGCATTTGAAATGGAAGTCAGAGCAGCCAATATTGTTCGTGCTGGGGAGTCGCTTTTGAAACTAGTTTCAGATATGAAGCAATATCTTATATTGAATGATTTCCCTTCAGTCAATGAAGCCATTGCTCAAAATTCAAAACTTTTTCGCACCAAACAAGTGGAATGCGATCGCAAACTAACAAGTCTAGTTGATGATATGTCAACAGAATTGTATGAACTTGAAGAAGAATATTATACATCAAATTATAAATAAAGAGTAGGTTCTAAAAACTTTTATTCATTTATTATAATAGGTATAAAGTTTTTAAAATAATTTTCCCCCTAGCCATTATTATTTAGTATTTAATAAATTACTTAAACATAACTATTTAAAGAACATAAAAATATAAAAATAATAAAATAACAAAAACTGCTGCAGCGGTAAGTTTTATGTACATTGATTTTAGGTTGAGATTGGTAGCTTCTTTTTTGTATTTTTTCGATAATATAGATAAATTTTGTGCTTTTGTATCAAGTTCTGAAAAAGACGAAACAGATATTATGATTTAATTGATTTAAGGCATGTAGTATTTTACATTATAATATAAATGTATTATTTCTAAAGTACAGTATTTAAATTTAAAAATTGTACCACTCTTTATGTATTTTGATTAAGTTACTATAACTATTTATTTATACCATATTAAACTAATTCATAAACATTGTTTTGTTATATAGATTGCAAAAATTAAATGAATGGATGGAATTGTACAGTTTAAATTTATTAAATAAATTAAATCAAGTTAAGAAATGCTGAACATTGGACCTACACAAACAAAAACAAATAATTACTTGAATATACTGAATGAATAAAAATATAAATTGAATGGCAAAATAATTGTTATGTAGTTGAGGATTTATCAGATAAATTTAAAATTATTAAATTCATTCAAGTGAAAATGTCATGAATGTCCTGATGAAAATTTATTTAAGTTATATATACCGATATATGTTCTCACAATTTTTACATAAGTTATAAAAAATATTTTAATATATCATGATTGAAAAAAATTAAGTCTGATTTATACATTATTTTTATTTTTATTTCCTTTTTAAAACTAACTTATTTATAATACACGCTTCATACCATAGCCAACATTCACTAACCAGAATTTTAATTAGTTTTTAGGATTTATTGTTTGACAGTATAATATATATAATTATAAGAAAAAGTAGACTAAACTAAGACATTAATATATATTACCTGATAAAACAGTGCCTCTTTGTAATACATCATCAATATTTTGAACCATTATTCTTTGTACATCTTGAAGTTCATTATTTAATGAATTTAGATTTCTTCGTACTCTAGAATCTATATAATTTTTCTTTGCTTTTTGAATGTAATTATCTAAAATTATCAAAATKATAATATATTTATTAACAGGTAATAACATATGAAGATGGGTGTTTAAAAAATGTTGAAAGATTTCAATAAAGAAAATAATATCAATACAGTCAAGTCATCAACTCAAAATAATTAAAATTGTTTTAATCTGAATTAAACTTTAAAGTTGACTTTAGAGTTGACTGTATTTGCCATGTATAAAATCTCAATGAATCACCAAATTCAATAAGTGTGTAAGGCCGTGAAACTGTTGATACTTGTCGTCCATACAGCTTATTGAATTCGGCTGCTATGTCTTCCAGAAAACTGAATGCAGAACGTTTTGAGAAGTTTTTTTCACACAATACCAAGTAACAAACATCTCTTTCAATTAAATAGCTTAAATAAAAATATTTCATATTAAAGCATTGACATTTGAAAATAAACAAATAATAGTTATATCATACTTACTGAAAATAATAGGGTACAGATTCAATTGTGCATTGTTTTGGAGAATGGAAGTTTAATTTTTTAAAAAGAAGTTTTGCTTGATTTTGATATTCAATTAATTTTCTCCCAACCTATATAAACAATGAAGTATTAAAAATCGTCACATTATTGTTTTTTTAACAACTCATTAATAAAAATAATTCTTATAAATACATTGTAAATGATTCTTAAAAAAATACCTGTTCGTCATCTTGCATAGATGCAGCTAATGGTAATCCGTCAGGAATTCTGGCTATCATAGTTAACAAAACCATATTTAGACGCAAATAAGTCACTCGAAAAATATAAACTCAATGTAAATCACAATTGTATTTAAACTATAACTATTTGTACAATAGAGCTATTAAAAGTATTTAAAATGTTTAAATTGAATGAAAATATGAAATGTTCAAAATATGTAGTTACGTGTTGGAATTATTTGTTATCCAATCGGTGTTATCATCGTCGATTTCGCGATAATCATAATACACATGACACGTATCTTTGTTAGTGTTATCTCATTTACTCGGTACGGTATAAAAAATATTGTACYTAAAGATTAAAGAGTAATAATAAAAGTATTTGATGAATTCGGGTCCATTTGAAAAAGTTGGACAAAAAGCCCGAGTACAATTTTTATTGTTGGATAAAAAGTCCAAGCACATTTTTATTGTCAGACATTTAATCCGAAAATACAAATTATGGTTATGTATAAACGAATTACAAAAAAGCTGTATGTGCCGTATGTTTACAGTAATAACTAATAATAATTTTTTGACATCAGCCATTACAGTAGTATTGATAATTTAAAATAAGTCAATTATAAACATGTTTTAAAAAATAGTCAATACATTAAAGACAAAATTACGTTTTCTTAAACAATGGCCTATACGATTTAAAAATTCGTCCATTGTCAATTAATTATCACTTAATTTTACACATAAATATTGTAATTGTAATTTTTTTTCTGATTCGTGTTTTTTTCTCGCGCGTCCCATGTCATGTAATGYTTTTTTTGCTTTATCTACCTCCATTTCTTCGCGAAATTTGATAATCAGCTTCCAAATTTTTGAATGACTATGCCCGATTAATGCGCAAACCTATTTTTCCAGCTTTCACAAATAGTAATTAAATAATTATTAATATTAATATAATTATTAATAACAGTGTCTGGATTGTAATGTAGCCTCGTGTACGTTCAATGTTTCAGATGGATACAATTTATACATTTTTCGGACTTTTCGGTATTGAACTCTAGAGCCTAGACATTTGTATATTTTATAGACTGTATTATTATTTATTAAACTTACTCTGTGGTTACAGAAAAATAGCCGCCATATACTATGGAATATGGATGGGTACAATATTATATTTAATACAGGAATGTCAGGAATGGTTGCACTGTGTCTTGGCCCTTGGTCTTCATCTAACCCTAATGGCCTAATGGCTAATATTGTACTTTGCATATCAATTTTTTCAGTGACGTGAACGATTCAACTTTTTATAGATTTGTGAAAGTAATGGAATATTTTGAATATTTCTACTTCACGTAGGTTATAATCGCGTTTATTATGGAATCGTGTTTAATATAGGTAATATATATTGTACGGTGAAAATATAAATCTTCAACTTAAAGGGTAAGATTATTTTACCGATTTTGAAATCTAAGTATCATTTATAATGGTATCAACCTCTCGGTTATTTGCAAATAGATAAGCTAGACTTTAATAAAAATCTATTTGTAATTAGAGCGTAGACTTCAAGTACGGAATATGTCCAACAATAACTTTTGGGGTAATTTGGATTCGTATTCAAACTTGCATCAGCAACCAGTAAGTGTTTTTCATTCTTTGATAAGATGCATTTAAAATTTTGACTTATTTAGGCTGAAACTTCACAACCAAATGACGAATGGAGTTGTAGTACAGATGATTGGAATTATATTGATCAGTCTTCAACTAGTAAAAACACTAATTCACAGAAGTTTAATTCTACTTTAAATTCAGATTTAACTCTGAATAGCTATTCTATACCAGAAACTCATGATGGAACATCTAATTCTCTAGTTAATTCAAACAGGCCAACCTATAATTATAAAAACGGAATTGAAAATGAACAACATACCTTTCCTGTTAATAATTGGTTCAATAAACCTGAAAGTCAATTTGAACAAATAACTAATGTCCAAAATATATTTGTTAATCAACATACTGATAATAAAAAAAKTGACAATATTATTGAAACTGAGGACAATTTCTGGGCAGATGTTGAAAATAGTGAAATTCTTCCACCAGAATCATTTCAGAATGAATCACTTCAACTTTCAATGAATAATTTACAAATAAGTAACGAGGTGAGCAAATTATGATTTATTAATATAGGTTAGGTTAGTAGGTTAACATTAAAAAATAAGAAATAATTAATTGTTAGTGAAATTTTGTCATATGGTATTTTTGTAATTTTAAAACAGTAAATTCGTTATCTAGCATTAATTTAAAAAAAATAACAAATTTAAAGATTTTTAGTGAATTGCATCAATCTTATATTTTATAGGTAGGCTTATTTATTTTTTAATTCATATAAGGGATTTTTTAAAGTTATGTTTATAGCATCACCTGATATCAACCTGTGCAATCGCCACACCCTATTATGATCCTTAACGCCAGTATTTCAATAAAGAATTGAGTAGGTAAATTGTTTTTAGATTATGATAGTAAAAAATACTGTGGTTAATTCATGTTTTTAAAAATAATTAACTACCATTATTTAATATAAAAAACGTACTTTTTTGCATTAGATTTAATTTCCAACTATTGTTGTTTAATTTTCATTGACTGACACAATCTTAACAAGCTTAAAAAAATCATGTTTTATTATTCATCACTAGGGTTCGAGACTTATTGCATTTAAAATTATCATAATATGTAGTCAAAATCGTCAAAATATACAGCAATTTTTTCATTTTGTATTTGAAAAACGCATAAAATAAATGATTAAAAAAAAAATCTAAAAATTAGGTAGGTGCATATAAGTCTAAGAGTATAGGATTCATTTGGTTTTATTGCAACTATTACAATTGTTGATTTTTTTGATAAAATGGTTGATTATTATGTGATAAAGAGACTATCATTGTAAACAGACGTCATGTTAGATACGACAGACTACGACCATCCAAGATCCAATTATGATTTTTCCTAAAAATTTTATGTTAATAAAAATCTGAAATATTCCTAGATATGCTAAAAATTGCTTAAAYATGCGCTTTTCTTAAAATATGATGAAATATGTAAAAATATGCAAATTCAAACTTTGAATTTAATTTTGTCATTTCATGAAACAAATTTATAACTCGCCTAGAATAATCTACGACCACTACAAAAAAAAAAAATGCAAATGCAAGAATAGGGTTCATCACATTTTTATTAAGAACATCTCTTATTTTGCTGGACCAACTCATTATATTTTGTAGTTTAATTAAATTGACTTCTCTTTCTCACTTATATTCATACTGACCAATATAATTTATATCTAATTGTATAGATTAAATTGCTTCTTTAAACATCATACCACAACATGTAACTGTTGTATGAAATCAATTAATTTAATCACAATTTAAGAAATAATACATATTTTATATAATATTTTAGGTAATACCCTCCAATGTATATGAGAAAAATGTGAGACATAAAGATACTGAAATCACAAAAAACAATTTTGTAGAAAATGATGATGGTATGTATAAGTATAAGTCCATATTTTCATTCATATTCATATGATATATCTTTTATACACAAAATGTATATTAATATGTTATAATATATGATCGAGAAAATAATTTTTACTATATAAATTTGTTTATAATATAAGTTTTAATTTGTAACTTTTTTAGATAGACCACCAGTTGGACTTGATCGATTAGTTACTGGTCAAACAAAATCATTTGAAGATTATTCTAATCCTGAACCATGTGGTCCGCAACCATTTGATGTCAGAACAGTACTTGGCCAATTAAGTGATGATGATATTCCTGTTAAACGACATGTAATAGGTTCCCAAATTGGAGCCAGACCAATTGATAACAATTCAAATTTTCAAAGTATTGATAACAATTCAATTACTTTAAAAAAGCTTCCGTCTTTAGAACAATTTCAAAATCAGTTTGAAGGTCATTCTCGACAAGTTTTACATAGGGATGTTGAAGATTTTGTTAACCAAGCTAATGATAGTCAAAAACTGGATGATTCAGCTAGAAATACTTCTGATATTGATAGAAATGAATCAAAATCAGAAATAAAAGAACCTATTACAGTCATAAAGAAAAGTCGCCCAAAAAATGATCGCGATGAACGGACTGGTCCAGATGGTTATATGAATGAATCAAGTCCATACTTACGGTCAACCACTCAAAACCAAATAAAACCTATAGTAGATTCCCAACAAGATAATAGTCTAAAATTGACAACTTCCACTCAATCAGAAAGCAATGAAAAGTTTCAAGATTATGACAGAAATGAAAAGCGAGTAGAGAAAAAGCATTCACTACCCCCGCCTGGGTTTTGTAGAATGGTTGAAGGTAATATTGGAGAAGATTCTGTTCAAAAGTTGAACAGGATGCCAAAAACTAACCAAAAAAATGACGAACGACAGCGACGACATTCAATTGATTCAGATTCATCAGTTCCATTAACTAATCCTGTGTCAGAAGAAGGTCTTAAGAGTATCCGAAGAGGGCCCCAACAAAAAAAATACAATAAAAATTTGGAGCATTTTCACAATCGAGATCGAAGACATTATCGACATCCTAGAGAGTAAGTAGAAACAAAATAGCGCTATTAATTGTTACTCATAAATTTAAAAATAAGTTATAATATGAATAGTTGACATAACATGTTTTATATTAATAGGAGTGAAGAAGATTATTTTTATGAAGAGGAGGAAGAAAATGCTTCATTGAGTCCTGAAGTAGAACCTGAATATCGATCACACCGCTCTCGAAACCATCCACCCAAGCGATACAGACAAAGAATGCTTAATGAAAAGTATTTAATATTAACTTTTTTAATTATAAATATTTAGTGAATTTTGTTTGTTCATTGAATATTTTTTAATTTGCAACTAACCAATTTTGCCCTTCCTTTTAAATATTTAAATATTTACATACCAAACTGTTGCATGTTTTTGTCYTGCTTTGCACAGCTACGACCACTCGGACACAGAATACCAAAGTGAATATGATGAATATGAAAGGCGAAGGCGATATAGGTAAACATTTTAATTAAATTAAATTAATCAAAAATTATATATTCATCATTTTAGTAAATATATTTTCCAAAATTAAKTAAAACAGTTTTAACAGTTTTATCTGTAAAGCTCTGAAGATTTTTTATTTGAGAACCGAACTGCTAGTAATACATTTGTTATGTAATCAAATATTTTTCTAGTACATACATTTGAATATTATATTCTTAATAGTACTTGTACTATATACATTTCACATGCATATACAACATTTCTTAATATTCTATATATTAAATAATAAGTATAATTGTCTTAAATTATTATGTATTTTAGTCTTTGTATCGGCAGATGGAGATTTTTTCTGCACCAAATTGCTTATTCATGTAAATTAATTTTTTGGTAACAATTTTTAATGTTAATGTTATGCAATGAGTGATTGTTTGATTTTGTTACATARTAAAATTACTTTAATATTGGAGTGGTTTTTATTGAAAACTGATTATGATAATATTATTAATAATTTTAAAAATATGCACAGTTCTATTCACTTTTTATTCTGAGATATGGCATTTAGTTCCGTTACTAATGTTATGTATTTTTTCCAGAAATCATTCAAAGCTAGTCAAAAAATTTTAATTTAAAATCTAATTTAGATTGTAATTATRAATTTGTTTCTTTTCCTTATTCAATTTTTTTCTTTTTAAGCACGGATAAGACTGGTCTTCAAACAATTAAATTACATTTTATTATTGTCATAAAACKTTGACCTTAGCCCTTACACTTTATAATATGGTTCATTTTAATATATTATTTTCAGGAGTCCAGAATCTGATCGATATAGAAGACATCCCAGAAGTTATCGTGATAGAAGATACCAAGATGAAATGAGGTATTATTGAATTAATGTTAGATAACCTTTTTCATTATATTTATAAATATTTCTTCTTAGTAGTCAATATTATAGAAGAGAAGACATCAATTATCGTAACAGACCTTCTAGTAGAACAGATTCAGATTATCATAGAAGATATTCACCTGTACCATTTCAAGATTATTCAGCTCATATTGAAATGCTTGACCCATTAGAAAGTATGTTAGACTAATGTTATTACACTATTTTGCTGTTTTTTATAATGTATAGATTCATTGTTATGCATATTATTATTTTAGGGAGGAGTTTCCTTTTAAAATTCAGAGAAAATAACCCTAAAGCATATACTGAATGGTACACAAATTATAAAGCCAAAGTTGAAATGCAAAAATTGATATCAAGAACTAAAAATGGTTCAGAATGTAGTACACCAGTATCTACTACTTCACATGATGTGTAAGTTATTGATGTAATATTATTTTATAATATAAATTAATGTTTTGTATGTTTAGAGGACCTTTAAATCATATGGCTAGACTTGAAAAAGAAAATCATCGAACTACTCCTCCAAGATATCAAAAGTATCATGTAAATGGTAATTTAAAATAAACTTAAATTTTTATTATTCATTTGATCATCTCAAGTTTAATAACTTCTRTGAATTACGTGTTATTTAAATACATAACCATTACTTGTGCCCGCAAAAAGTAATGATTTTTTTACTTTTCATGCTTGTGCCAAGCACAAGAGATGTCCTCCAGTAATGAGAATTGAATGTTTTTTCAGTAAAAATGAATATGGGTTTTGGAAAATTATATGTGTTGGACTCATCAAATGCAACTATAGATGTTTTCAAAGCAATGCCAGGATTGGATAACGTTGATACTGCAGAACTTTTCAGATTTCCCACTCCTTTTGTATTGTTAGTTTAACAATTTTAGATCATCCAATTTTTTTGTCAACGAACTATAAAAGGTATTGTTTAATAAATTACTAATCACCTTAAATATTTATTAGAGGTAAGACACACAAAAATGCTGTGGCTCAGTATTTGAATAAACTAGCAGATGAAGCATCAAATAATTCAGAGCGGCTGTTGTACGAATTAATTTGTATGATAACTAAGCGTAATGGAGTAAGTGAAAGTATAGTTTGAATAATCAAAAGTGTTAGTAGTTATATAATATATTTTGTTATTAGATAGTTGATGGAACTGATATATCAGAACTTTTAATGGAAAACGTAGCTAAATTCCCAGTTGAGTGTATATTATTTGATAGTATGAGCTTAAAGGATACTAAGGGAATGTCAGTCAAACCATTAAATAATTTTAGAGAATTGCTTTTACAAGGCAATAAATCTGAAGCTTTAGGTATGTGCATATTTTTATTAATTTATTTACAATGAGTTATAAGAAATAAATAAAGTCTTTATTTATGCGTTTGCATATTTTTCTTGGTTGATCTTATTATATGCTATGTAAGTAAAAAAAATGATTCACATTAGAAAAAAAAACAAGATTTAGAAACTTAGTTTTATTTTGATACATTTTTTTCAGGGAACAATTAAATTACAATTAAATATTATTGGTTTATAATTTATTATGGTAATATTTATATTGTTTTTATGGGTAAAGCGAATATCTACAGGGAAAGATAGTACATACTTGGTTCATCTATTATCACCACCCTTATGCTACATAAATAGTATTTAATATTTGTTGATAGAAGAAAAAACCTTTTTTTTTTTATAGATATTTATTAAACATAGTAGATAAATATAGTACATGCTATTTGATAATTTTTTTTTATAAGGAAAATCTATGAATTGTCAATATTTATTTGGGGGAAGGGCTTACTATGATAAAATAATAAATATTATATATGTTTTGAAAATCGGTCAGAAAAAATAAAACTTATACCTACCTAGCCCAAAAACATATTTATTGTTAAAAACAAAGACCTTTATAGTAGTTATATTATTGTTTTATATAATACATTATTTCTAAACCTATTTCATGAAGTGATATTAAAATTATCAAGTCTGTAAACAAAATGTATTAAAGTYTTACCAAATCAAATTTAAGAATGTTTAAATATTAAGAAAATTTAGATTTTAAGTTAACTATAAATTAATATATTAATACATTAATATATTTTTATTTTTAAATAAAACCAGTTCTTCATATAAATTTTTATTTAAATTGTTTTAGATTCTGAGCGGAGCGATGAATGTACTGATTTTACAATGATGTGTTCATTTATTTTTTTTTTGTATATACAATAATTTGTCGAAATAATGCTTTGATTTTCAATTGCAGTAGCTTTTCTAGCTTGAAGTTGCTGGGTCGGGTGATCAAATTTTGAAACTCCCAGTAGTTTTCAAAAGTATTGAAAAAAACAAAAATTTAAGGAAAAGCGGAAATTTTTATGCAAAATCAATTTTAGATATTGGCGTAACTCTAAAGCAAACTACTCTAGACACATGCAATTTCTACTGAAAGTTTTTTCTAGCATTTTCTATGATTGATAAAATTTTCAAAATCTTTTTAAGTTATCTTTAGACGATTTTAAATTTTAAATTTTTAGTTTTTTTTCTATAAACAACAATAAAATTTTATTCGTTGGGTAAAAAAACTTCAAAATTTAATCCAAGGCTCCTAATATACAGTGTTCCGTGAGGATTTCCGATTGTGATATCCTCCCCCTAATAATGGAGATATCGAAATTCTGGTTTTGTAATAAGACTCACAGGCATAAGAACTACAATTATTTCACATTTTAATTTACTTTAAAGTTTTGGTAAAAAAGTAAAAATAMATTTTTTTATTTAATTATTTCTAAAATAAAAAACTATAGCCATTTTGTAGAGTTAWTTTTTCTGAACATTTCAAAATGTTATTTTTGGTAATTTCCTGTTTATTAATTTTTTTAGTTTTGAGGAAAATAGCGAATTATTCAACTCCATAGTGTAAATGCCGTGCTGTATTGTCGAACGTTTTCAGTGTGCATTATATTTTATTTCTTCAAAACTAGAAAAAATCAGGATATTAATGAAAATAAAATTTTGAAACGTCAATATTTTCAGATAAATAAATTACTAAATGGCTATCTTTAATTTTTTTCGGAAATAATTAAATAAAAAATATATTTTTAAATGTTTTACCAAAATATTAAAATATTAAAAACATTAAAATTCCTGTTAGTTTTATAACAAAACCAAAATTTTGATGTTTTCATTATTTTGTGAGATACTGCAATGTGTAAATCCTCCCAGACACCCTGTATAGTCACAATGTTTTTTAATAATCTATAAATGTTTGAATWTTGACAAAATTACATAAAAATTTGAAAATTAATTTGAGTTAGATATTTTTTTAAATTTATTGTTTTAAATCTAAGATTTGAAAATTAAACAGGATTCTTCATAAGTTTGTACTTTTATCAAATAAAATGTCTATCAGAAAGTCAAATTAAATTTCTATGAACATTTGAATTACAATATTGAATATTCACTCAATTTYTCTTCTACCAATATTCTTATTTTGTTGTTATTCGAAAACAAATAATTTYAGAAACTTGAAATTTACTCCATATTATGTTTATCTTATAAATTCCTCTACTTGATAAAATGTTCAAAATATTTCAACAATTTTTAAGTTATAGACCTTTGAAATTTTACGTTTTTTTAGTTTTTTATTCTCTAAATTTAAATTAAATTTTATTCATTGGGTCAAAAAACTTAAAAATTTAATACAAGGTTCCCTATAAGTTGTTATGATTGTAGTTGGAAAATATTAAAAATACATAGGTACTCGTACATTCTTTTTATAACTGTTTGAAGTTCAAATTTTGTTAAAATGTATTTCATTAAAAATTTAAAAATTATTTAGTTGTTAAAAATGTTTATAACGTTTAACTTTTATAGCTCAGGATTGAAAATTAAARTCAAGGTTCCACATAAGTAGTTAATTCTGCGGCTAAAAATTATACAAACATAGTTTTCTTTTATAGTTATTTCAAGTTCAAAAGTTCAAATTTGAATGAAATTACATATTAAAGATATTTGTATGAAATTTTAAAGAATCAAGAATAACAATTTTAGACATATTGTTSTAATTTAAAAATATTATTCTTAGGTACTTAAAATTTCTTGACTATACTTTGTTTTCTAATATTAATAGGTAGTTAATGTTGTTAATGACTTATATGAATACTTTATAATAAATTGTGTATACCTACCATGAATGACTGAGTGAGTCAGGTACATAATGAATCTGATTTGATTAATTTGCAATTCATTTTAAAGGTACCTACATTTTTTTTTTTAATAAAAGCATTATAATTAATATAGTATAAAACTATAAAATATCCTAGAGTGACAAACCATCTCCGCTCAGAATCATTTTTTTTTATTCAATGATATTGTATCATTGAATTCAAATTTTATACCATCTATTACATTTTGTTTTTAACAAAATAATCTTAATTAAATGTATTAAATACTTGTACATTTATTCTTATCTTATCTTGTTACTTTATTTACTATATATTATTTTTATATTAACTTTGTAAGTATGTAATAATTTTGTATCTCAGAAACCATACCCAATAATTCACTTATATTATTGTTTATTAATTTCTATTGTATATTATGTTTTATAGAATTTGCTGTATTAAATCAAGACTGGGGATTTGCATTTATATTAGCATTATATATGGACTCAAAGGCATTAAATTATGTTCGATCTAAATATTTCCAAACGATTCCACTAAATGACACTTTGCAAACATTCTTCCAACTTAGTAGTGGGAATATACCATCATGCACAACTGTAAGTAACTTTAACTGTATTTAGAATGTAGAAAAAAATATTTATCATATATTATATTGAAAAATGTATATTGTATTTATTTTAATTTAAAAAAAGAAATCATTAGGCGATATGCAATTACTAAGTTTTGCCATATAATATTAAATTAAATTGTGATGTTTGCCTTAAAAATTTATATTTTTACATAAAGCAATTGTGTATTAAACACGCTATTCTCTAACTGGGAATATCCAATACATACAGTTTTTATGCTATCATAATTGAAGAGTTTCCAAAAAAARGCTTCCTAAAACCTTTTAAAGGTTTAGAAGCACTGTGCTATTCTTGTTCATAGTTGTCTGTCGTTAAGTGTGATAAATTTAAGAATCTTAGGAAAATTTTTCCAACTAAACAATAAAGATTTAAAACAGATAGACATTGACTGCTTTGAGTGGTTAATAGTGTTCTGTTAATTTTAAATAATTTTATAACAATCTTTAAAAAGCTATGACAGATATCATAAATTCTTAAATATATTCAAAGAATATATGATTTGGTTTTTATTTTATTYGAGGAGATTGGTTACTGACATTTGTTGTCTTTGTCCTTTATGTGCAATGTGGATCATGGTAAAAACTACTTATTTTGAGTCCTATCTGTATGGTTGATGTAGTGATTAAATTATCATTATAAAAATAAATTGGAATTGTATATAAGACTAATTTGTAAAATTTTTTTGTAATCAAAAGAGGAAAATTTATGTCATGTAGTTTGTGGAAGAGATACTGACTGAACAATTACATGTTTTATATTTTTTGTCTCTGTATTTACTATGTAGTACACATGAAAGACAAATATAGCAAATATTGTTACCCAATCCCCTTGATGTCAAATATAAAATCATCCCAAGTACCAAAACTGAYGTACAATAGAGTATATATGTCATGTTTAAAAGTGCGATAGGTAGTGTGCTTACAATTAAAATATTCTTTATGTTGTTAAAATATATATATTTAAAGAAAAATATTTGAAAGATACATACATATAACATTATAATTTATAACATAGTATTAATATAGCTATGGTTTTTTTTATAAAAGTGTTGTACAGATAACAGCTGGGGAGATTGGAGAGAACATTTAGCGATGATTTTGAGTAATCAACAAGTCAATATAAATAATGCTCGTAATGCCACCATTCAACTTGGGGACACTTTAAGTTTGTGAATTTAATTTTCTAAAAAAAAGACATGATCTAAATTTGCTTCATTGTTACTTTTTAGATGCTAAAGGTGACGTGTTTGCTGCTCACTTTTGTTATTTGGCTATACAGATACCATTAGAATCAATTGGATTATCTTCTAAGTTTACGCTTTTGGGTACATCTTCTGATAAAGTATTCAATACTATGGTTRCAAATCGTGCCATATTATTAACCAGTGCTTATGAGTTTTCAATGCGATTAAATCTGAGCCATTTTTATATTTCTAGTCTTTTGGTAATTAAATGTATTATTAATTATTAGAATTGTTATTTTTATATTTATATATAAAGCTTATAGTTTGAATTACTCTTAGCCTTATAAATATTTGCTGGCCATTCGCTTGGCTGAGTATGGAGAGTGTGAAAATGCTTTACATCATTTGGAAGCTATTGCAACACAGTTGATATCATCACCTGAACTGGTTAATATGGGATTTGTAGCCAATGTTGTGGAATTAAGTACAGATTTGTATTACATGCAAGTATCAAATAATAATTTATCTGGATGTATTGATGCATTGGATTGGTTAGAAGAATTAAAACGTATTTTAATGAGTTCTCAAAATGTAAGTAACAAATGATAAAATATTTTATTTATGTGTGTGTTTTAAATGTCATTTTGAATTATAAGTATGTATATTTATAAACTTTTTAGAATTATAATCCTGTAGAACGCATATCACCAATACAACAAATAGACAATTATCAATCACATCAAATTGAACATTCTGTTGTACCTAATGAACAGCAAACTGTAAGATTTAAAGTAATTTGAATTGAAGAAATAATCTTAATATGAATTTATAGGTTCCAGATTCAAGTATTGATTATTCTATTAATTACCAAACACCTCTTATTCAAGCACCACCTATTCAAGCACCATCTATACAAACTCCAACTTTTCAAGTGCCACCTATTCAAACACCTGTACAAACTGTTCAACAGCCACTTCCTCCTCCAGTGAACCCTTATTGGCAGCCAAATGTCGTTTCACAATCAACTGATCTTCTACCGCCACCTCAAAATGGTAAATTTTAAATTTGTAACTAATATATTTTACATTTTCAACTATACATTAAATTAGTGATGTAATTTTTTTTTATTGAATATTTTACTATATACTGTCTTATAGTTGTATTCTTTAAAATCTATTTCTTAACACAGTAAAATTACAAAAAAATATATACATTTTTTTTTTTTTTAAACTAAAACTCACTATATTTTCATATTTACAATTTTAACGTATAAAAATAATGCTTATATTTGTTTTATTAAAAAAAGTCTATGAATATAAATATATTAAAAATTCATGTTTTTAACAGTAAATATTTTATACATTTGTAGAAAATATTATGGTTTATAGACAATTTATAAAAACAATTAGAATAATGCTAGGGTGTTTGTCAAATTAGTAAATAAATGGTTTAATCAATAGTAAATTGGTGGTTAATTTAAAATAAATATATATTATTGTATGTTTTATTACATTTTTGCTTTCCATTCTATAATATGTGTACAAATTAAAATTAGCTTTGTCAGTTGTCCTTAGTGACTTGACAGGTTATGTAAAACAAAAAATTGGGCTGTTCCTTAGACAAACAAAAATGCCTGCTTTAATCAAATCACAAATTATTGTCATTAAAATATAAAATTTGTTAGTAACTTGAAAATAATAATACTTTTAGTATTTTAAACTTGTGTATAACCTTTTTAATATTTATTTCCGTCTTCCAAAACCCTTTTTTTTTTAAATGGAATTTTAAATTCAAAGGGTTTTCAAGATCAAATTAATGAGCCTTTTCTTGGAGTTGTGTGGTGTATACAGAGATATCCTTAAATATTTTTGTTCCTTACAAAATTAGGTTCATACACACTGTAGAAATTCTGCAGTAAGTTATTATTTAGTTGAGCGTCTCATATTTGTATATATAAAATATATTCTTTAAATGATTAAAGAGGAAAAATTATATAATATTTTATGATTAGTACTTAGGTTAAGAGGACGTGATACCCGCATGTGTTGTCTCTGTCTTACAAGTGCATTATATAGTAAATTTTACGTTCAGCAGAACACGTGTAGCTCCGTTTGCTTAAAAATTAGAGTGAATTGATCTCTTATAAAATTTAAGATATGATTGTTATCTAGTCAACCTCATATGCTTTTTAATATATTTAAATTTTAWAGGAAGTTATGAGTATTTTAAGATGCACAAAAAATTCACAATTTTAAAATACTCATAACTCGCTTTAAATTTGATATAAAATAAAAAGCATATGAGGTTGTCTAGATAATAATCTTACCTTAAAATTTTATAAAAGGTCAGTTCACTCTAATTTTTAGGTTAACGGAGCTACACGTGTTCTGCTGAGCGAAAAATGTACCATGTTACGCATTTGTAAGACGGAGACAACACATGTGGGTATCACGTCCTCTTAAGTTGTGACTGAATTTAATAAAATCCAGACAAGATACAGAKATCAAATTTTGAGAACTTGTCTTCCTCCGTTCACCTCGACACAGGAAAGTGGTTCATCATTATAAATTGTATTCTAAAAACTATAGTTCTATGCTTAACTCACTTAATACAGCTTTTGTTGAAGTTTCTTAATTTTTTTTATAGATTTAATCCTTTAAGACATTTATTTGAAATTTTGAGGAATAATTGAGAAATTTTTCGAGTAGATAATACATAGTACTCTATGAAACTTGAGGCTATTTTTTAAAAAGTCAAAGATTTGAAAGGTAGCCATATAGAATACTTTCCTTGCTTTGTTTAGGACATAAACATTAAGATATTTACATGGATTACTTATTAAATAATTATTTAACTTTATCAATCTTAAAAGACAAAATATTACACTTGAAATTAGTTTAGCAATATTGTAAACAGAATTTTCATTTGTAAATTTAAAAAAACAATTTATAATTTTATAATCATTATTAAATTAAAGGATTTTATAGTTTAATGTACTATCAAATTGCGAAAATTCAAAAACTTTAATTAGGTACTTAAAGTTTTTCTTGCCCCTTGAAATGTTAAAAAGGTTTAACTAAAGTATTTAATTCAAAAAACACATTTATTTTTATATCCTTTGATATTCAAGTTATGAAGACTATTGTATTATGTTATGTGCATAGTAAATACAAAGAAAATCATTAAAAAAATAAAAGTTCTTTTAATTTCCTTACACAAATCATAATTATTTTTAAGTTAAGGTTTCTATAATTACTGAACTTTTGAACTAAATACAGATATATCTTATTATAGCCTTATCCGGTTCATAGAATATTCAGAGACTAATATGTTGTGGTATTTTCCACTTTAATTAGTTGTTTTACTAATTAGTATTATTTGTATAGTTATAATTAATTTTGGCTGTAAAACAAAAGTCTGCATATTATTTGAGTGGCCTAGAAAGTTGTATTAATAAAATGGATCTATAAAAAAAAATATGTAAGGTTTAGGATATGATCTTAAATTTAAAGTTTTAGTTATATAATATTGTTAATTACTGTTAGYATTTTATTGTGTTAAAAGCTTTAAATTTATAGCTAATATATTATTTAAGTTATGATTATTAATGGATGCAATATTTAATTACTGTTTCTGTGAAACTGAAAAAAAGATGTAACTTAGAAAATAATTGAACGATAATATTTGTTTACTCATTTTTTATACTACAATGTTATGTGATTATTCTTGTAATTTAACAAGAATTAAAATTAGTAGGGTAATGGAACCTGTTATACACATAAGTAAATTTTCAAGAGACATAGGCACAGCATTAAAGCAATATATGCATTTTTTATAGCTACAATAATTAAAATATTTGTATTTTCGTAGAATATTCACAATACTATGATCCTACATCAATGGTTATGACTGGGGAAGTAACTAGTCATAATAATCCAAATGAAATGACTTCAGAAATATCAACCATCGCTTCAGATCTCACTTTAATGGCTGAATCAGAAAAGACAATATCAACAGAACCAAAATTTGGATTTTTTGATCGTCAAATGGCTGAACTAGAACCTAAAGTATGTTAATATATTGATTAAGTTCACATAAAATTAACAATCATAAAACACTTTTAAATTTGTTTGCTGATAGGTGTCTGGTACAGTTGAAAAAAAATCGCAAAAAAAAAATTTTGCAGACGATAAACGCCAGCAAAAAGAAAAGAATTCCTGGCTCGGAGGGTTGACTAAATTTTGGAAGCCTTCAAATAATATAGATGTAAATAACATTAAAGATGTTTAAATATTTTTTCTAGATACTTAAAGAATATTAAATTGTTTGTTTAGTCTACTGGAGAAAATTTTGGTGCCGAAGAACCAATTCAACAACAAGCTGCCCCTCCTTTAGATTCAGAACTACAATTTAATCCAGTAGCTAATAGTTCACCGGCCAATCAAAATCATAACCAATTTAAAATTCAAAGGAAGCGAGGTACTTATCAATTAAATGATGGGCTGTAGCCTGTTCAGGAAATTATTTTCCATTATTTCATTATCAAGAACAAACAAATAAGAAAATTAATCATTTAATTTGATTATACATCATAATGTAATCTTTTATTATTTTAGGTGTAAAGGATATGTATGTAAACGTTATGAGCAACAGTAAACCATCAGAAAATACATTATCTCCAGATCCAATATTCCAAATAAATCAAACGCCCACTACTATTTAT